GAATCAAAACTGATGAAGATGATGATACCCCTTTAACATCAAGAGAAGAAGAATATAGTCATTTGCTAAGATTGTTTATGAATTGGAAGAAAATGAATCTTATTTTATTTCATCAGGGGATCATGTTTATCCAAGATTAATAATTACCAAAGATGCAGACCCTTTCATGGTCAAAATGGCAGCAGATTATGGATTACTGGATTTGATCTATCCAGGAAAAGATTTAAAAGAAATTGAAAAATTTGATGATATATTCAGGGCAGAAGTTTCAAAATTTGCCCAAGGAAGATCGATTTATATCAAATTTTATTCAATAAGTCCCGAAATTGATGGAAGGATATACTATCCTGCTGAACATATTATTACAATTGGATATGTTGGCCGAGATTTCCAGATTGAAGTTGGCCGAATAAACCATTACCTAAAATCAATAAATCATGGATTAAATCCCGGAGAGTTTTGGGGATGAAAGTTCTTTACAACATTGCAAAGAACTTATATGATAAAAAATTCAGATGCTTGTGCCAATATGAAGGATGAACACTCCTTACAAATAATGGAAAAGAAAAATCTACCATCTTGAAAGAATATATCCAGAAATTTGATACCCATCAAATTAGTGGAAGTCCAACAACAATCCAAGAATCATGCAGATTGAGGGAGTGCCCCACATGTAGACAAAATTGAAAGATTGATGGATGAAAAGGACCTACCACTACCAAAGCATCTAGCCAGCTGCATATGAAGCCAAAGATGGAAAAGCAATAATAGAAAAGCATCTAGCCAGCTGCATATGGAGCCAAAGATGAAAATGCAATAATAAAGAAAAGATGCTCATTGGATAAAAAGGCAAAGAATGCATGTGAAAATGTAGACCCCAGGAGGAAAAAAAATAGAGAGGCATGTGAGCCTTTTTTCAAAATTCTGATGTATGCAATGATGTAATAGATCAATAATAGTAAGTTTGAGTCATGTATAAATAGAGGTCTTTGGGAAAGAATGGATCATCTCGAATTGAAAACCATTCTCTTTCCTTAAGCTTTCTTCAAAACCAGTTTTTCTGGAAACCCATTGTATACAATAAAAACCTTGTATAAATCATTATAGAAATAAAATTTCAATCTTTTGATATCAGAAAAATATGAGTTTCTAAACCTTCTATCCCATAGATTCTTGATAGATTGAAGAAGATAATTTCTTTCTTACTTTAACAAAGAGATAATTTTCTTTACTTAAGAATCTTTATTCTTAATTCTAAGAAAAGATACAGTGAGGGCAAGAAGCTGAAATAGCAGAATTCTCATTAAGGCAAGAGGCCGTTTGAGGGAGCAGTTTGCAGATTCAGAGCCTGAAGGTCACTCGGTTCTAAGAATACAGATTTAAGATCAAAAGTAAGGTAAAATTATTGTCTTTGTTAAATTTAGAAAGAATTCTTCTAATATCTTGAAAGAATCGTAAGGATTATTACTTTTCATGTTTGCAAAAAACTTATCTAACATGTTATTATTATTTATAAAGTTTGCAAGGAATTATCTGAATACCAGGTTATACAATTAAATGATTAGATAATCTGTTATAAAAACTATTAGAAAAAATAAGAAATATTTTTGCCCAACTAGAAACTATGGATGTTTCATCTAAGGAATATGATAATTTTAGTAAATTACATGACAATTATATTACAGATTATGCTAATTTATTAGATCAATGGATGAAACTATATATTAAAATCCGAAATGAGAGAAATAGAAGAATTTTGGAACTATCCCAATAAATTAAGGATATCTTGTACAAAATATGATAAGTCATTTCATTAAGGGTATTATAGACATTTTACCAAAAATGAATAGTAGCAGGCCATTTATAAAAATCTCCCTTATCCTCTTGATGTTCAACTTGAATTGATGTTATTTCAAACATTTAATAAAATGGGGCCATGATCAACTGATCAAGTCCATAACCATCATTTTTCCATTGTTTTGTTGACTTTTATTGTATTCTGCTGTTTGAATGCAAAGGCTTATAAATTTCTAGATAGGCGTCATATTATTAAGCATTAATTAATCTAGAAAAAGGTGCTTCAAGCACCTCTTTTTAATATCTAGACTCCTTCATTTATAGGACTTCAGATAAAGGAAGCAATGTTCGAGTAGAGTCATCCATGAGTCCATAATCCCACGCATTTTCATCAAGCTCAAAAACGAGTCGCCATAGGGAAAAAAAGGATGTTTGGCTTGATCATGTCCTACGTCTGACAAGTCTAAGCCTGCAAGCAGATTAGCCCATTCGTCGCCCTTGACTTTAGAGCATATCACCATTGCACATAATTTATTCGATGCGTTAGCTCTTCATGAACCAAGATCATAATTCATTTCAATTTTGGAAGATAAAAATTTATTTAATTAATCTTAATTTAAAACTTCACTTATTCATAACCAAAATTAAGATTTCATTAATGGCCACATTAGTGAATCCTAACAGGAATCCTAACAACACACATCTAGAAGCTGAAAGGTTGTGTACTTTTAATTAGTTTTGTGTTTTATTAGTACCACTAAATTGATTAAACAAAAGAGATGCATAACAATATTTACTTCAAATTCGACGTACCAAAACATAGGTATATAGTCAAATATACTTCTCTGGTTGAATGATAACGTCCATCCAACATTCCATGGCTTGGAAGTTGAACTGAAAATGCACAAAAATAAATTATGATCATCAAGTTGAGATACATTTTCAAATGCAAACATAACCTATGTTGGGAATTTACTTAAACATGCACAGCGAAATTAAACAATTTCAATTTCCATTCAAAATTCAGCTTTATATTTAGATAAGAACTGTGATAAGAAATATATTTTTTTCTTGATTTTGCAAACTCCTTTGCGTTATTCCTTTCCAACAATTTGAATCTGCCTCTCACAGTTGTCCAATTGTCCAGCTTCTAATGAAATCCACACAAAGAATAAACTGTAACCGTTAGGGTTTTTCCTCTTGTGCCAGCAAGAATAATAAAAATTTTATGGATCTTAAACCCTAGCCATATATTTATATAAAACCAAACGGGTCCGGTCCGTGAATTAATTAATCAAATTAATTAATTCGGGAATATAAATAACAAATTCAATTAATTAATTTATCCAACTATTGTTAAATTAATCAATTGACAATTTACAATCTTCCAATTCTCTTTTGTGTGCGACCTATTAGGTTTCCGACCACGATACCTAACGACGTGAAATATTATTTTGATCTAATCAAAATTGATAAATTAAATACCCTTTTAATTTATCACAAATTCACACTCGCCGTCCCAAATTGACATGTAGCAATGTATCATGGCAACACATATGACGAGAAATGTCACGTGGTATGACAAAATCAAAACTGTTCGTTTACCATGAAATTATAATCCCTTCGTCAATATGATTCGATCAACTACGAGATATGAAAGTGTGTCAATCTCGATTATCAATCATATCTTTCATTTTACTATTAAGTCAATATGAGTCGAAAATGAGTATGTATACCTTGGCCAATGATTTCGTTATTGACTTAATTGAACGAAATACAGATCACAATCTCTTACTATCTATCAGTGACGAATCCTCTATTGGTCATTCACAACCTTCATATGGTTCTTGATGTACCCGAATAATGTCGTCGTATTAGCGGCTCTTGACAGAGCAAAATCTAACACCGTCAAAGTATGACTGTCCTCATACAAGGCACTATGATGACCTCAAATTATAGGACCAATTTCATTACCAAACGTTAGAGATTAACCACTGACACTCAGATAGTTATCCATGTGGAATCTTTTAGCGGGTCTCCAATGTTTTGTTTTATAACAAAACATCCACGTGTTCATTTAAGCGTCACCACACTTTAGCTCATGAGATCAACTACTTACTTCACAAGTAAGAAATGTCACACATAATGGTCTAACTGTATTAACGATATCCGTATCTCGTTATTACTTATGACCACGATTTATTCAAGATCCAATCATACGTAATTTGTATCTCACAATCACAACTCCTTATAATTAACAAATCACTTAAACTTGGATCTTCGGATTCTATTATTTAATATTATTTATCACAAAATTAATTTAAATAAATAATAGATCTTGCCAAAATTAAATGCATTAAACATATTAAAAGTATTTACAATCTAAATCGATTAGATCTAGGGCATGACACTTACAACCTATGCCATGCCTCCTATTTGATCGGGGCCAGCTGCTTGCCACATGTGCTTGTTTCCTTTGCCGGAATTTCATCACTTGCATTTCATGTACTCGACAAGTTAATTGACACGGTACATTTCATATCAACGGACTTCTTCTTCTTCATCACCAATATCAATTTGACTCTCTCTCAACTCGGCCACACTAGCCAAAGACAAAGCTCCTCTTAGGCTAAGCCGCTAAGCCCCTGTTTTCTTCATTCTGTTTGTGAACACCTACATAACCTATGGGGACAATTACAGGATTTAGCCCTTGTTTGATTATGTTAAAAGTCAGATTTTTATAAGATTTTTTTGAGAAATTGTTTATAAATACTTGTCAAACATGTAGGACAAATGCTGAGAACTTCACTGGTCATTAACGTGTGAAATTGTTGATAATTAACTTATAGAAAGTCGAGACCTTTTTCTTGTTAAATTATTTATTAGTAAAGTTAGTTCGACATAGTTTTCCGTTGGATTGGTTCGAAATTTGGACAATCACTCTTCAATGACAGGCCCGGATACTCGTTGTCAAGTTGTTGAATGACTTTTACGCAAGTACGTCTCACTTCAAATTTTTAAACGCCGGCACAAGTGAAAAGCAAAAATTAGCTCCATGAGTTCGACTCTAATTATAAATATATATTTTTTTAAAGCACTATAATTCAGAAATAAACAAATCTACATAAATAATGAAATCAAACATAGAAAGTACACAAGATAATTCATAAATAATACATAAAATGAATATACACATATATTCATCACTTGCACTTCAAATCCTGAACCTGTCTAGTTGCTAAATTGATCGTCCAATCACAGTTCATTTCACCAGATTTCTTCTTCTTAATCACCTTCATCAAATGCACCTTCCCACTCAACTTTGCATGGCTACTCAACCTTATAACCTCAGAATTCATATCATTTCCAAGATTTGTATTCCCAGAAAGCCTATCCGAACTTACACCAACTGAAATGTTAAATTTCTGCGTTTTTCGGGCTTTGGCACGTCCCCGGGGTATCACAGCCTCTCCAACAGGCATGCCATTGTATAAGATAGTAAGTGTACTGTTATCATACTTGAAGTGCCCAAAATTTGTGTTTTTCACAGAGATTTGTGTTAGCAATTGCATGTCGATTGAAGTCGAGTTTGCGTTGTTGGAATTGAAACTTTCGACCGCCATTGCATTGAACCTGACCTTAGGACTTTTGATTTTCATGACGGTTAGTGCGAATACAAGTATAATCGCAGTTTGGAACA